GCCTCGTACTTGCTTTAGCTTATTAGTCAACCCATACAGAAAAAAAAGGTAAAGAAACAGCGTGTGTATCGATTGTTTGTTTCTCCTTACGCCACAACAAAATAGATGAGATAATCACGCATGTTATTCTTTTAGGCAGATGCATTATATAATCTTTGTTTTTCACTATTATTTGTATATCGCCTCTCTTTTACCTTAACGATAAGGGGAAGTCGTTTCCCTTTATTATTATTCTAAGCAAAAGGAGGGGTACCCACATGTAACAGGTATTTCCATTATATCGGCATAACAACAATTCCTTTTTTTCTTCAATTTACCATGTCGAATCCCGTCTCTGCAGACACGGGGGCCAAGGGCTGGGAGATTATTGAGCGTGTCACGCCCTTCGTCCACGCCGTGGGTCGGGTGGAGGGGCCCCAGGGCAGGGGCAGCGCCATCTTCGTCTCACTGTCGGCTCCCGTGCCGTCTGTTTCCCCTTTGGAGGGGGAGGACTCCCTTGCCGTGTTGCTCTCGACGTCGGAGGTGCTACCTGGCTCCCCGGGCGCGCTCGCGGGGATGTTCGTGGCCTTTATGGAGCAGCCCATCGTGGGTACCGCCGCCGCGTTGGGCCGAAAACCTATCCCCTTTTTCCTTGCCCTGAGGGGCGATGCTGGGCTCGTCAGCTCCGTTGAGGCACCCTTGCCGAAGGAGCCTGTTAGTGACAAGACCGCGGTCGAGGAGGTTGGTTTCACCCTCACGTACTGCGAGACGACCCACCAATGCGGGTCGTTTAAAGGTGGGGATGGTCTTCACCAAATTCGACCGCTCCCCCTTCCTTTGCGGCCCTCCATGATCTCGCCGGTGCAAATCGGCGATACGCACCTTCTCGTAACTCACGTAGATGGACTTGAGCGCCGCTACGTAGTGCGGTCTGTCGTCGCGGTCTTTGAAGATTACTGCGAGTACGCACAGGATTCTGGACGACGCCGACTGGGCGAGTTTTCTAGCGGAGGGGCCGTTTTCAACGAACGTGGTGATTTTATCGGCTTGCAGCACTATCGAAATCATTCAATATGCATGTTTGCAACCTCCATCGTGCGCTACCTATTTTATTCTGGCCATCTCGCTATGTGTCAATTCCCCATATTAGAACCATCCTTGACCGAGAAGACCCTTGACGGGGGTGATCTCCAGGCTTTAACACCTACGAAAATAACATTAGCTCCTCTAACCGCTCAGATTCCGAGTTACCTTGAGGTTTACAATGAGTTTATGACTGGCTATGATAGCTTTCTGCACATGCTAAGTGCGTTTGGGTACTCACCTATGCTCACACAAAAAGTATTGGAAACGATGGTGTCACCGAGCTACGAGTGCGAGCTGCGGATAGTCGCCGCAACCCAAGTTGTCGGTGTTATTCTAGGAATCGTCGACACATACCCTCATTTGGAGTCGTTAGTAAACATCGCGCTCATAGTGCTCAGCCGCCTGTGCATGCACAATTCGAACTTGTATGTGTTCATTCACGCAGAAGGCATCTCTACGGTGACAGAAGTGCTGAAGATGTATCTTCATCAGCCTAGGGTTCTTCAATGGGGTGTCTATTGTCTACACCGGGTTGTAGATGAGAAAATCCCCTTAGAGTATCGAGCTGCGTCAGTAGATCTCATCCTACGGTGCTCTTTTCTTGACTTCGCGATGCATACACTTCAAACACATGGTAGAACCGAGAGCACACACACGCATTTAGTGCGTTGGATCTCCTTGCTACTGGCTAACTTGATTGAAGTCCAACCTTACGTAGTGACATGGCTTGCGGAAAAAGACTACATGCCATTGTGGGTTGATATAATGAAAACCTATTTAAAGGAGGAGGTAGTCATACAAGCGCTACTGTTAGTTCTACAAAAGATCCTTAGAGCGGCCTCTGCTTTACATGAAACCTCTTTGGGAATTGGGAATAGTGATTCTTCGACGGAGGAGAAGAAGTCAAAGAAAGAACACGAAGACTTTTCGAATGAAATCCTTCTGGAAAAGACGACAGAGTCTGTCCCCTCCTCCCGAGGAGCTGATTCGTGTACGATAGGCTCGTTTCCATCTCAAAATGAGGCCGCCGCTCCCGACATTTCCCAGAACATTGCTGAGGCTAATGCCTTTGGCGTGAGTGCACTTCTCCTCTACACATCGTTATCGCGGCCGTCGTGTCGTGATGCGTTTCTGAATATCCTTGTCTGCGTTCTTGAAAGGGAAGCAGATGGAGTTTTTAATTGCATAGAGCTGAATTGTGTTGGCATTGTTCTTGAAGTATTTGAGTATTTAAGGGTTTTGGGACTGCTGACACCCAGAAACAACCACAGTACAGAATCACCCCGAACGTTTGGCAACGTCATTGAAAGATTGGATAAGGCCTTGATACAATTGCAGAAGAAGTTTCCAAGCAATGATGCTTTGCTCAAGAGCATTGAGTGTGCTCGTTCGCGAATTGGCGTCTAGAGTAAATTATAGAGGGTAAAGAAAGAGATTTACATAGACGTGGGTGCTAGGCTTCTTTTGCCTCTTTTTTTGTTGCTTGTGAGCATTTTTTTTATTCGACCTTCCAACTTCATGATGTACAAAAACAATGCTCAGTTAACAAAGACGGGCTACTCGCGCAGGGGAACCATATTCTATGTGCGGACTACCGTGTAACGTGTATATATATATATATATATATCACCTGGATTATTACTACATTGCAACAATTCCACACAAAAAAGAAGTGGTGGTGATGGCGTTTCTGTCTCTTTATCAGCTTTACAGGGTCATTCTCTTGGTGCGACATTGATTTCTATATTGTGGATCAAATGCATTGCTGTTCTAAAGAAGGGTGAAAGGCAAAAGCGAATAGCATCGAATCACCCAAAGGAACGTAAATAAAGGAATAGGAAATAGCTTCGCACCATTCAAGTGAGTTTTGATAAATTCTGAACATACGTGTTCACCCCCATGTTTTTTTATTTATGATCCCTATCTACAAAGGGCAGTGACTCTGCTACTGATGCGATAATTTGTTTCAACTAAATTAAAACAATATCCTAACCCTTACTTTATTTCCTTTGTACAAAATACGAACACACATTTCTTTACCCATAACTTCTTATTTTAATTGTTTCGTATATTTTTGAGTTTAAAAACCGATTATCGAGCCTCGGTGCACACACTCTGTATTTCTAATTTAATACAGGGTGGAAATATTTTCCTTTATCAAAATTTAGTTAGACTTTAGTGTTACTATCAAACTTCTGTTTATATATTAATGGTAGGGAAACAGGCTTGCGCATTCATCGGAGGTCACCAACTGAAAGCAGCTACGCTTCCCGTCCCCATTGAAATCAAACACTCAACTCTTTCTCATAGTGAGCTTTCAGAGTTCAGTCCACGAGTGATTAGTAATATGACAAGTGCAGACGAGCAGAACTCTAGGTGTCCAAGCGAGTGGCAAGCAATTGTATTCCATCAGGGTTATCGTTGCGTTCTCACATTTTCCGAGGAGACTGACAAGCTGATGCTGATTGAGGCACCCCAGCACTCTAATGGCAAGCGAAAAGTGTTTTTAGATATTTCCATGCGAACGGTTTTGAATATCGAGACCTCTGATGAGCGTGCCGTACGTGAGCTTCTTTGCCGGGGCCGCCGCAAAGCAAAGGCTCTGGAGTCCAGTTGTTGGCCCAAGGGGGAGACACCTTCCTTTCTGGAATTAGGGGTCAAATTTACGGACCTCAGCTTCCGTCCGTGCATATTTTTGGACCATGAATACCGGCTCTCGCAGTCTGCCTCATCATGGCATAGCCGGAAGGGACACCAACGTCTCGAAAACCCTCAATGGGCTTCTCGGGATGATTACCACGCACGCGAGACTAAATCGCCTTCTGGACCCCTTCACCATCCCTCTAGAGACACCCAACTAGTCCAAAGGGGCGAATGTAAGGGTGTGTGGCGGGATAATGGGCCACGGTTAACGCACTATTTTGTCTACTACGTCAGTTTGGGCAAGGCGGTTGCTAAGAAAAGCGTTCGCATGGTTGAGTTTTGTGTCCTGGAGGAGCCCCATCATCTGGGCTGGGCATTAAAGTTGAAAGACGCCGTGCTCCGGCGGATTTACGGGGACAGGCCGAAGATCATCGAGGTCTTTATAAGCCCGAAGTCCGGGAAGGGCGACGGGGCGCAAGTCTTCCGGAAGAGCCTCCGGCCTATACTAGATGTCACACGCCACACGATGAAGGTCACTATCACCAAGCGCGCGCACGAGTGCGAGGACTACGTTGCGGACATAACGAACAGTCTGGACGCGAACTACGTGGTGGTTGTCGTTGGCGGCGACGGGATGGTACAGGAGGTCGTGAATGGGCTGCACCGGCGGAGGCTTGCGTTGATTGCTCAAATGCGTGCGGAATGCGAGGCCGCAGAGTCGGTCGCGCCTCCAGGGGCTTCGTCACCTCGGGATGGGTTCACTTCTGGCGCGTCAAGAACAAAAGCAGGCACCGATGAGAGGGTGACTTCGTGCGTTTCATCGCCTCCTAGCGCGTCTATGAGGGCCGATGAGGTCCAGGAAGAGTCCTTGGCATCAAGTTTGACGCCCGTGTTCGACATCTTCTTGAGCTGCGGTTGGGATGCGCTAATGCCACTCGTTGCCACTATCCCTTCTGGGAGCGCGTGTGGCCTGGCGAAAGCCTTGGATCTTCTAGACCCCCAAAAGGCCGCGTGCTCATTGGTTCACCACACGACGTGCCAGCTAAGTCTTTTAAGTATGCGATTCAAGCGCAATCCCGATCTCTACGACTTTCACTGGAAGAAATGGTCGAAGAAGAAGTGCGCGACAGCCAAGGAAAGTTTTGTGTCTTATCGCTGCAACTACTCGGAGGAGATCAAAGAGCGACTAGCACGGAGTGAGCCCCCAGAGACATCTCAATCACCTTCCGCGAGTGTGATGGCAAGCGAACACAGCAAGGCGAACACGAGCGACTTAAGTGACAGCCATTCTCAGCATTGTTCCGGGTTGGTGGAATCTGGGGTTAATTTAGCTGGGTCCAAGGCGTTTGTCGCTTTTACCCCCTCATCCCCTAAGGGGGGCTTCTCTTCCTTTAATCCACCGAAACCTTTCTTTAAGGATGGTACCCCGCTCTACACCAGTCCTGTCTCGCAAATCCTCGGGTCCCCTGAATTCGAAGAACGTGTCGCTTTTATGTCATTATCGTTTGGGTTTCCGAACGACGTTGATCGCGGCAGTGAGCCGCTGCGTTGGATGGGCAACGCGCGCTTCGCCGTCTTCGCTGCCTTTCTTTTGCTGTCAGGAGTGCGTAAGTATAAAGCGACCATGCGCTATTTGCCATGGACCAGCAATGAAGGTCTCCGATTGGAGAACATCGACGGAGCGGGCAGCCCGACGTCGTTATCGCACTTTCCTTCCTGCACGATGAGGGATAGCTGTCCACACTGCCAGAAATACGCTGAGTCCTGCCCGAATGGTCGTGAGATGTTGGAGAAATTCCGATCTAAAGCATTGGATCCATACTGCGATTTTCAAAGGGACTCGCCGACTGGTGGTGTCTCCAAAGCTTGTATGGACTCTAGTGAGGGCGTTGAGGCGCTTCCCAAAACCGCCGATGGTGTTCCTGACCCCGACATTCTTTATTGCCCTACTGCGACAAGCGCCCAACGGCGGTTGTTGATGTCTTGCAGTGATGCGGATCTCCTGCAAGAGGATCACGTCGACTTCGACTGTGAGAGCTTGCCGTGGGTGACGGTGAGTGGCGAGTTCGTTGGGATTCTTTTGTGCAACATGTGCGATCTCGCACGAGATATAGCCATGGCGCCCTTTTCACACCTTTCCGACGGCGCGATTGACATTGTCTTTTTCCGAAGCAACCCCCAGAACCCGTCAAAATCGTCCATCACGCGAACAGACGTTTACCATTTCTTCAACGGGTTGAAGGACGGAACGCATATTAAGCATCCGTACACGAGTTACATTAAAGCGCGAGCTATCGAGATAAAGACAGATTCGGGAATTTGCATGTCAGATGGTGAGATGATGCCCTTGAGTTCTGTTAGGCTAACTAAAATTCACGGCGCCGTTCGTGTTATTCGGTCTGACTAAAATAGTGATCGATACGGAATCGTATTTATTCCTAGGTTTATTTTTAAATGTCTTTTTAGATTCTTCCCAGCTATTGAGCGATTTTACGGTTCATGTTTCTGATTAGGCAAATAGTTGTTGTTTTAATTGTGGCGTTGACTTTCCCCCTCCCCCCTC